AGGATAGTCAGAGAGGAACCATCAGTGTTTCCCTGTGTGTTAACTGCGGTAGTGGTAGTTCTGTGAGTATTACGTCATGGCTGCATATGTCTTCCCAGAAGAAATAAGACCCTTATTCCTATGAATCAATAAGAAGGGAGAGGTGTGTTTTAAAACTTAAAACTCCCCAGATATGATGTATATCTTTGGCTGGGACGAATGGCAGGTTATTTGGCTTGTTGACTTTGGAATACCATGATGTGGTAGTGTGTGTGATGGCTGTCATTGAGAAGTGAATTGCCACACAACAGAGAGGGGTGGCATTTTGAGGCTCCTCTTCAAATGTTTATTCTGGTATGAGTTAAAAAAAATAAGACAAAAAAGTCTTTTTCTTTTTCACTTGGCCTTGAGATAGTTTTATTTTTAAATTTCTTAGCAGGGTGGGCATGTAAAACATGCTTGGGATTCACAATAATCAAACTATAAGGAAGTTGCACACAGGTCACGTCTATCTAATGTTCATGTCCACATGACATGAACTTGTCTCTCAGTGCTTTTAAAAACCACAGAAAGAGTGTGCAACTGAATATGATTATTTGAAATTCAATATGCTCTCTGTCTCGTGTTCGTCATATAGTATTTAAAATACCACTTTGAGCTTGTAGGCATGAAAAATACAATTCCTTTCCCATTTCACAGTTGGAAAAACTGAATTACATAGAACAATGCTAGTAATTACCCATAATTAATAGAGGTGTGTATGCAAATCAGTCTGAATAAGTGAGTGAAATTAGATGTAGTGATGCCAGAAACCCTGTTTCTGTGTTTTTAACTACTTCCATGTAAATCTCAGTGTTAGTCAGGCATACAAATATGACTTTCCAAAAATGTATGGACAATAAAGTGACTATTATGTATGTATGTATTGTAGTGTGTATAACAAATTAGATGAATCATTGCAACTTGTTAGATAGGTGCATATTTAATATGCCTTATGAATGCATACATAATGTTGGTTAGTAATGCGTTATACAGATTTATGTATGGCCTAGGTTTAGCATGCAGTAGAGTGGATTTAGTTATACTTTGGTCATTAAAATGTGTGGGAAGGAATAAGTATTAATTTCTTATGATTGTGGTGGTTGATTAAGATAGTACATACAAAAGACCTTGGAATGAATTGGTAAATGAGAATCATACTAAATAAGTTAGGTATTATTGTTATTCTTCATATTACCAGTGCTGTACCATATGAACCTGTTAGATTTAGGAGTGGCCAGGGTCATCTTCTCCTTGATTTCCAGCATGATATATTCAGAAAATAAATTAAAACATGAGTGTTATCCAGCCACCTCTGCAGCACTTGGATATATGCAGGGATTTTTTCCTCCAGTTTCCCCTTCTATTCTCTGATTGGAAAAAAACAAAACAAAACAAAACAAAACAAAAACAGAGAACAAGCAAATAAAGCAAAAAAACCCTTATTCCTTGAAGCGCCTGGTAGGGTCAATTTTATCTCTTTCTATACTGTAGGTAGGGTCTGGCTGTTTGGATGCCAGATTTGCCCATAAGAACACCGGTCTCCTTTGGGAAGGAAACAAAGCAGGGTGTCTTGAAATTTATGTAAACCTGGTTTGATTGTAGGTTGTATTGTACATTTTGTAAAAAAATAAACAAACTTTAATTTGGGGGAGTTCATTTTGTTTTCAGAGTGAGGTTTGAGATAGCTGTTTTAATCATGCAAGCCCAGCCATGTGCAATGTTTTATCAAAGGAAAAACAGGGACTGAATGGTAAGCAGCTGTGAACAAACCCAGCGCAAGGCCTGAACCTGAAAGATAATCTCAACATTTCCCAGATCTACTTGCCACATGGGGTTAGTGATTGGAAAGGCTGTTCACTTGGGATAAATAATCAGATGGGAGACAAAAAAGTGAGACTCATTCATTCATTCCTGTCCTTTAAAAAAAAAAAATACAGTAGTAATTTAGACAGTGGTTGGAGAAGGGTGGGCTGATAAAGCCCGGAGAGCCACATGCTCAAGGGAAATTTTGCTCAGAGGCCATAAAGACAAAACAATAGTGGTTGTCCTTGTCCTCCCTTCTTCCACTTGATTCTAACTTTCTAATGCTTTTTTTCCTTGCCCCAGATTGAACCCATATTCCTTCTCAGTTCAAGGGCATCTTCCAATGAGAGGAAATGTTACATATAAGTCAGCTGAACGGAGACATCACCACTGCTCAGGCTTACAGAAGCCACTGGAAATGGTTCTAGTCAGAGTGAGAAAATTACCTCAGGAATTTAGAACTGGCACTTTCCTCATTTTACAATTCAGTGGATTTTTTCTGCAGTGATATTAGTTGAAGTATTTATGCAAATATATGCAATTCAGGACTAATTTCAAAATGGATAAATCTAAATTAAAATTAATGGGAAAATCTAGCTATCAGAAACAAATCAAGAAAGGAATACCACTTATTTTCCATATATATCATGAATTAATAATTAATATCCATCTATATATTAATTAGGGAGCAGGGAAGCACCCTGCTTTTCTTATTTTGCCTAGAGGTAAGGGCACTGGAAAAATCTCTAATTGGCCACAGGCAATATATATTACCCTTTAATGTCACCCCAGTATTGCATCACTGCAGACATGGCAGTGTGTTCCTACATGGCCTGAGAGCCACTGGTGTTTGGGAACAAGAGAGTCTGAGAGGGTTGAGCATGGAATGTAAGGCACTAAGACTCCATTGTTATGAAAAGTATTTCTGCTGGACAATGGTTAGGGGATGAAGTTTTCTTTTCTATTGAAGGAGGACAGATAGCAAGAGGCCTTTTTGACTTTTAAGTCACTTTTTGACTTTCAAATCATCTTAAGTAAATCAACTGCTCTAACCTCCTTCAGGTCATTTGCCTCAAACAACAATCACAAGACATAGTTAACACTGGATCCAAGTTAAGTTTCCAAACAGATGATGACAATAAATAGTAGTTAATTAAATAAGGGAGTCATACACAGTAGTGGCGATCACAGTAAGGCATGCTTTTGTAGGCTTTAGAATACTGCATTGTCGCTCTAAAAGTTTAGACATTCTGTCGCTTTTTTTCCCCCTCATGTCAAAGTGCATTTCACGTGGGATGTCCCCTTGATTGGAAAGAGGAGAAAGTAATTGGGTCCCTAGGATGGTGGTGTCCTTGGAAAAGAGAGGGGACTTAAGAGAATGGAACCTTCTCCAGTGACATCTCATACCAGCTATCCCACGTCTCCATGAACAGCTTTTCAATCCCTGCTAGCAGAAGCCCAACGTATTAGTAGAAGATGAACTATATCCTCTACAAACTAAGAAATCTAACTACAGTCTACATACAAAGCAAAATCAAACGAGGGTCATTCTCCAATCAACAATTCAGTGTGTGGGAAACAATGTTCCACTAAGTTCAACTAGGTCAATCCTTGAGTGAGACTTCTCTTCAAGTATTTGGCAGCTGTCCTCTGTGAACAGTGCCTGGCATCACTTTGTTTAATCACAATGCATGGTCAGATAAATATCTGAGTTTGTGGCTGCAGAACTGCTGTCACAGAGACACTCAGACGTATCCTGATACTGTGCAAAGCTCATCTTGGACAGGGTGTGACCTCTTAGGAAATGTGATCCAAAGGGGCAATTGTGTGTGTTCATGTGTTTTCCTTATCAAGATATATTTGCAAGATGCCAATGTGATAAAATGGTGTCAAGCTCTGTGGCAGCACTGGAAGCTAAATGTCTTAAAATAATTGTGGCATGTCAGGAATTCAAGATGGAATATTTTCCACAAATGCTACACTTCATGTCAAGTCTGCAAACCAGGCACACTTTAACAGTTTTATTTTTAGTGGTCAGGGTAAGGAACAGATTTCATTAATATGTTAGGGAAGTTATTTTATTCAACAGAGTTCTAAGTTTTATACTAAAATAGTCTACACTGCTCTTAAAATTTATTAATCTGTCTTGTCAGCCCTAGAAACCTTCTACTACTCATTGCAAATACAATTAATGAAAGTTTGCATATATGTGAATGCATGCATATGCAAAACACTGCATTATTGACACTCTGAAGATCTGCTGCCCTGAACTGCAGGTCGGAGAAGTTAATGAAACACGATCCATCTTCAAATTTATGAAACAGCAATTTTCTTCCTATAATTCTAAGCACATTTTTCTTATAGTGTGTGTGATAATCTTTTTTAATTGGATTTATTTTTTTTTACACTAGGCCCTGCATGGCCTAGTTTCCATTTTTTTTCTCAAGTATTTGAGTGTTATTTGCAAATCACTTTTCTGGGATTTAATTTCAATGGTAGGTTGGTTTCATTTCAATTTTTTTATTATTTTAATTTTATTTGCCAATTTGCCTTTAAATACCCTTAAGCTAGAAAGCTGTGGCTGTGACTTTGCATCTAAATGTGATGTAGGAAGCAAAATTTAATTTGGACCTATAGAAAATTTTGTGAAAAGAATACAGAGTGATTGTTTTATAAGTTGTTATTTGTGTTTTCTAAAGTATGTAGGCTTAAAAGATAAGACATACAAGTTGGCCAAGAGTTTAGGAAAAGCAGTGTTTATGTAATTGTATTATGTTTAGTCTTAAGGATAATACATTTTACAAACAACACCAAGAACTATAGGTTTAGAGCCAACATACATTTGTGTTTTCAGTGACCAGTGGGATCCTTAATACGCAATTTTGTGGGTGAGGGAGCTACAGCACACAGGCAGTTGTGTTCCCAATATGGGAGCTCTTAGAGTCCTATAATAAATATAAACTAAAAATACATTATTCCCTGCTTATCTAACTGACAGACTTAAAGGTATGTCAGTGGAACACCTGTTAATCCTCAACAGCTTATCTTGCTTTGCAGTGTTTATGAGGAAAAAGGAAACTTCTAATAAGTGTGAATTTTGAGAACTTGGTTATTGATTTTGTGTGTTTTGGAGAATGACCCAGGAACAGAACTACAGTGATAAAAATCATACTGACCTTGAATGGGGTGGGGGACTGTGGGTAAAACACGCTCTAAAGGGGAAAAATGGTAAACATCATGGAGTGTTTAGATACACACATATTCTCAAGGTTAATTACTTAAACAATTGCAGAACAGGAATTTCCATGCCTATAGAACCTTATCTCCCATGTAGTGTTTATTTGTTCTTCCTGCTAAATATCAAAGACAAATATCAATGAAATTATAAATATAAACTTTGTTTTTTTTTTTTTTTTTTTTTTTTTTTTTTTTTGTTCAACAATAGGGAGCTAATATCTTTGGTAACCTTCCATTTAGAGTCCTCTTCTCTGCTAGGAAACCCAATACCAAGATGTAGCCATGTCAACTTTTCAGGGAGAGAGAGTAGAAAGATTATAGAAATTATGAAATCTTTCTTGGTCCTTGTTCTTATCTCTGGCTTATAATAGATGGAACTATGGCAGTTACTAGCCTTTTCCTCTCTTTTATCCTATAGTTTTTATCACCTCTTTCAAGCATCTGGAAAACTTACTTTGGGAAACACTAACTCACCTTTTTCTCTCATGGGTTGAACTTTCATAATAGTGGTGTCAGAGAAAGAAGTCTCCCTGGTAATATGTTTCTTTGAATGATAAAGTTTTATCTTTAGTCCATCTCAACCCTACTCCTTGCTAACTGAAATTTGATTAAATAGTCTAACTTTGATGATACATCCTATTAAGTAATAGCAAGTATTTTTGTTTGAGCACTGGGGTATAAAATATATGAGTCTCTGGAAAATAAACAAAACAAAACAGAACAGAACAAAACAAACAAACAAACAAACAAAAAACCAGGATAGCCAAAACCATCCTGGACAACAAAGGGACCTCCGGAAGTATCACCATCCTTGACTTCAAGCTAATACTATCCAGCTGTGGTAGTAAAAATATGGGTCTCTCACTCTCGTGACCCCATACTTGAACTTCTTCCTAGGAATTAAATTTACTGGTGGAGTTTAGGTTTTGGAGTATCTCCCACACTTCTCATTAATATTCTAGGCTTGACTCTAAATCCTTCCTGTGGCTCTTTCAGCAGGGTAGAATAATGTGGTAGAGAGAGAGTTTGCTATTTTTCAGCTCCTAGCTCTATAGTATAACACATTTAGTGTAATTTTCCATATCATTATTTCTAGAAATTCATTTAAATAATGACCAATGTCAAATGAAAATCAAAACTAAGCCATAGAGAGACAAGTACATTCAAGCGTGGTCTGCCTTCCATCTTGTACTGTAAGGTCTGTAAGGAAAAGTTGATCTTTCTTGGTCTTCAGGTCCTCCATACATTTGGCCATTGAGAAAATTTCCAGACATTACGCAATGTACTCTCTAGCTTGGCTGAAAGTTGCAGGTTAAATATGAAAGCTTCCTAAGTGCATTAAGATATAGCAGGTCAATAATAAATACCCAGAGAACAATTGTGTCTTAGTTATACAAGTGCCAAGTAGAAAAAATGGTTTAGAGCTGTACTGTGTATTTGCTATTTAGTTTCCGGCTTTGAAAATGAGTAGCTGAACTGCTTTCAGCATTTTTGTAGCAGTTGGAGACCACTATCCCATACCACATTCTCTCTACTGCATTATATTTTATTATTACTATTATTATTCAGGGTGTTTAAGTCACTTAGCTTAATATTTTCTCATCACACTGTTCACAGCTGGATCAGTGCACTCTGCCCTGATTTTCACAAGGGCATTTATTGCTAAAACCCTGCTACCTTCTCTCCATTGCCTTTACAACTGCTTTCCCAGATGGCGATGACCATCTTAGCTCCACCCTTTTCTCCTCGTTTTAGGCTTATCACATCTCCTTAGTCTTGTTTCTTCCTTCTGTCCTTTTGGCTTATCTGCACTTAGATGCTTTCTCATTCCTGATTTTTTAAACCTCATTCTTCCCACTATTGTCCCCACTAGTGTTTTAAAGTTTACAGGAGGATTTATGAGTTCCTCTAAGAGTAAAGGTGAGCCGAAAAGTGCAGTAGATATCAATAGAAACAAAACAAAACAAAGCGAGAGAGAGAGAGAGAGAGAGAGAGAGAGAGAGAGAGAGAGAGAGAGAGAAGAAAAGAAAAAAATTCAAACTTTAAGCTATTGCTTTTCAAAAACAGAAAAGGGCATTCTGGGGCTACGTGTTTCTACCTTAGATTTGGATGCCAGAAGTCAAAGTAGTTCAGTAGCTGAGTGGGAGATCTTAGCTCTTAGGCACAGTACTTCTGGGCCTAGAAGGACAGGCTGTGGCTTTTTGCATGATCCTTAACTCTGGGCTTTGCTTTTCTACTGGCTGGCTCTGCTGGGTATCATAAGAAAAAAAAAGAAACTGACACTAATGTTTCACAAGGAAGCTTTTTGAATTGACTGCACCAGAAAGACAAAAGCTGGAATGGAGGACACGGTGTTTATATCAAAATAAAAATAATTTGCTAACTCATATTTTATTTTAATATGAATATTACACAAGTCTTCCTGGAACTCTGTCCTTCTTATGCCCGTTTTTGATTTTTAATAAAAAGTAATCCACATGCCCATTTCCTTATTAGCTTCCTTTTGTATGCACAGAGAGTCTTTGAAGGAGTTAGTACCTATTCTTTTATACTATGTGGGGTTAGAGCTCAATTATAGCCCATTTTATTATGCGGGCATCTGTAAAGATCTGGTTAAGAAGACTCCTAAGTATTAACTACACAAAAAGTGGCGTACCTTTAACATCAAACTCCTAAAGTCATTACTTAGAATGTTTTCTGAAGGAAAAAGAGAGGTCCTCATTATGAAGATCATTGTAGTCATGCATTGCTTGGGCAGTTTTACAAATCTAGTCAATTACAAGTTTATAAGTTAGTGTAGTGAGATAGTCCTTCTGTGGCACAGACCATGCCCATTGGGGGGGGGGTGGAGCCATGGGCGGAAGTGACCTGTGGAAGGAGGTCGGAGGAAGGGGGGGGGGAAGGTCTCTTGCTGGCAGGACTCGGACAGGAGAGCATCGGGTGGAATTTCCTGGTGTTCATCTGTCTAGGTTGTAAGTTATTTCCCCCTGAATAAACATCTATTCGGCCTATTTGTTTATCCTGATCCTTATTTAACCGCAATAAGTTAGTGATCATTTTAAAGGTTAAAAGTAAAATGAAAATGCACCCTTGAAAACTGGTGCATAATGGGCCAGTGTAGACATCTTTGTGTTCTTATCCTGTTATCTTTAATAGTCTTGATGCCTGAGCATTGCACGTATTTTTCAGAATTTATCAACAAAACTTTCCTTTAATGTGGAAAGAAGCTACTCACCTGGAATGTTAGTTGAGAATCTCCACAAAGTTTTAAGTCCCTAGTCTAGGAATCAGTGGACCCAGGGCAGTGGGAGTTAGGGGGCTCAGGAGTAGGAGATAGAAGAAAAAAGGCTTTTCACCGGCACAGTGATGGGTCGGGAGAAAGGCTTTATGACTTGAGAGTAAGAAATTCGATGTTTCTTCTCCTCCACATCACAAGCAGTAGGACCCCAACATTTTGTCTCTATAAATACATAGCTTGTTATTCTAGAAACTGCCTCTGGGCACATCAGGCTCAAATTTAAATCCTAGACACTGCTTATATATCACTCTGGTTCTCTGCTTCCATAACCACTCTGCAGTAGGGAGGGAACAATGAGGACAGAGTGAGGCTCTGTTGATGATTAAATGACAAACAGGTGAAGCAAGAGCTTTACATAAGCCTCACTTGGGAAGAATTAATGACACTTGAACATTGCCCTTATTTTCCCTCTCTATCCATTCTGCTAATGGAACATAACAGAAGCACCAAGACAAGGTACAGCCATCATCTTGGGGGTAAATCTCAGTTAACAGCATAAGAACATTGAGATGGTTATGTTCCCTATGTAGACTCTGAGACTTCTCCTGGCATCAAAAGAAATTCAAATCTTCATTTATGTCATGAACACTGCTCTGTCTGAATGGACTAAGGAGCTGAATCCCAGCCCATAAACACTGTGCCATTGTGTTCACACATTTAGAAAAATGAGCAGCATACCACATAGTTCAGGCATGAAGAAAAATACCTAAAGTATTATTCAAATATATACATTGGCAGCATACTAGAATGTGTGAAGCACATTCTACTGGCTTAGGAAGAAAGTGTTATAAATACAATGTTTTCTTGCATTGTCATTCAGTTATTTTGACCCCTCTGGAGGGGTGAATAGAGAGCTAGAGAGTGGAGAAATGTGTGTGTGTGTGTGTGTGTGTGTGTGTGTGTGTGTGTGTGTGTGTGTGTATGTGTGCGCATGTTGCTGAGAACAAGGGAGAGCAATTGACACTGCAGAAGTCAGCATGTCATTGCGGTGGACTGGGCAGGAAATGTGCTGACCCACCATCATGGATGAATAATCATGAACTCAGGGACTCTGGCTCTCCATCTCTACCTGCTGCTGTCTCTGGCTCGCTGCAGCTCACCAGCTGCTGTATCTGCTCTGGCCTAGCTTGGTCAGCAGAGCACCCTGCTGCCCACAAAGTGCTTCTGTCAGAGCCTCCTGACACTGGTGGGCGGAGGAGCAGCAGTCATTGCCTTTACAGAGGCCCTCCCTTCCCTCCCCCTTTAATCTCATTGACTTTGAGTTAAATGGGCAATCTACTTACACATGTTCCTTCTTTTTTCTCTTTCTTTCCTCCTCCTTTATTAACTCACCCCTATCAATCTTTCTTTGCCTTCTTCCTCCCCCTCTCTTTCTTCTTTTGCATTTATTTATTTATTTATTTTAGGTCTGTGCAAACTGGGCCCCATCTTCAAGGTCCTAGCTATGCCCTGAACCTAACTAATGGAGCTGGGGTTGGCAGGAAGGCATACTGTTCTTATTGCAAAAGACATACAACTTTCCCCCTTGAGGTCCATAACTAGGCTTTAGGTCTAAGAAACACAAGTTCTTGGTTGCCTAATTTTCTACAATGTTAATAGCTCCTTCCCTTCAAAACCTAATGACCTTTCATTACTCTTTAGTAAGTAAACAACCTCTCAACTTTATCAGTGTGTGGAAACAATCCAAAACCAACGTGAAGGCATATGCTGTGTATACATGTTGATCAATGCAAAATTGGTACTTATGCATGATGCTGTGTAGAGGGCGGTATAGGATCACTGGGAAGATGGCCACCACTGGTTACAGCACTGTGTATTTCACAATTGAGGATGATGTCCCATCCCTCAAATCATGAAGATGTTTATGATACAAAATGTTTGACCAATTCCCTGATTCTCAGTTTAAAAACTGAAATTCTCTAAGATTCTTGAGATTCTTAATTTTATCATGTGAAATCATTTTGAGGATTGCTTTTCCCTTGCACTAGCCCTACAAGTGTCTCTACTGTCTATAACTCAGTTCTTGCTCTGCCTCTCTGTTATGAGTATTCTCTCCTCAGCTTTTTCTTCTCCAATTTTAAGGCAATTTTTTTTGTTACTTTAACTGTGTGAGAAACATGCTTTTCTTATTCTCTGTGGCATGGGAAGAAAATAGTCTTTTGCTTTGTTTTGTTTTGTTTTGATTTTTTTTTCAAAACAGGGTTTCTCTGTGGCTTTGAAGCCTGTCCTGGAACTTGCTCTGTAGATCAGGCTGGCCTCAAACTCACAGAGATCCACCTGTCTCTGCCTCCAGAGTGCTGGGATTAAATAAAGGTGTGCCTCACTACTGCCAGGCAAGAAAATACATCTTAAGTGATGTATAGTTGTTCATTTTTCTAAATAACTGGGTTGCTGCTTTTTCCATTTTTGATCCTCTTAAAAACTTTTTTGTTAAGTGTATGATGCTCTACTTGAGCAGGTCCCCTTGGGTTTATCCTATTCTCAGATTTATCACTGAGGCTTGGGTTTGCCTATACCTTTGGATTTCCTTTCATCAGGGAGGAACAGAGTAACTACATTTCTTAATTCATAGCTCCCCAAGTTTCTGGTAGGTATTGATGTCTTCATTTGGTGCAGAGAATATTTACATTTAGTCTTTAGAGACAAGTAAACAGGATCTGAGTTCCCAGCTTCATACTGATGTAGCATTTGATCTATATCTCATCAAACTATCACAGACTGAAACCAGGGGGAGTCAGTTAAGATTGAGAAAATCAAGGCTACAGTTAGGGTAGCTTTGTGGTTGTTGTTTTTCAAAAGTGGTGTGATGTCTTTAGCAGTTTTCAAAGAGCTTTAATACTATCTTCCAAGAGAACTCTCACTTAAATTGATTTTTCTTCCCAGAATCTTTTTTTTTTCCTTGAAGGCTCATCTAAATTGAATACAACAAGATGAAGACATTTTTCTTAGCTATAGTATTTTTTTTCCAATTGAGCACATATAGAGGGGGGAAAAGCTTTTAGTGGTTTCTTATTTTAAGGTAATAATAAAACTTTTAAAGCGTTTTCTACTTAATCCAAGTGAATTTTGTGGTTCAGAAGGCTCTAACCATTTTGCTGTCATTATTTTGATAAATAAGAGTTCCTATTAATAAGAGTTCCTATTCCATATATTATCATCTTTCTATGATCCCATTCAGTGAACTGTCTCTCAGGGACATTTGAACCTGGAATTATAGCTACCTGGCCAACAAGGCTGTAGAGTTAGAGATATCACTGAACATGCTGCCTGTGTTCATGACTCCATGATGGGGTCTGGTAGCATTCACAGCTCTGAAAACACAGCTTACTTATCAGCCATCTTTCAGTGTCTTCTGTGCTATTCAGAAATGTACCCTCTCCCACTATTCTACTTTTGCTACAAATGGAGTATCAGAAAAGTAAAGTTCTTGCTGTCACAGGGAAACCATTCTGCGGCCCCTTTTCCTTTAAGCTTTATGTTGTGTTTTAATCATTCATTCTACCCTTCCTCTGTGTTAGGAAACTCACTTTATTTTTCCAGCCCCTCCTTTTCCTAGGATGTTATTCACTGTAACAGGTATTTCTTTGCCCAGTCACCCTCGTTGCTGGCATAGTCTAACAGCCATCTATTTCCTAGCCCTTAAATTATCTCAGCTTCTTAAAGAGGCTATCACACAGGAAATATATGCCCTTTGAATATTTTTGAAGAGTAACCAACCAGGAAAAAAATGAAACTAAGGAACACAGATGAAACACTGGGCAGTTTTCCAAAGTAAGTGAGGTAGAGTTCTTCCCCTTTGTAAATCATGATTTTCTCAGAGACTGGGAGCCTCCATTCTTATTTCAGTGGAAATATTCTTACTTTTGTGTAGGTTTACTTTTAAGGAAGGAGGGAAGGTTTTCCAGTCAATGTGAGAAAACCCTGTAACTTATACCAAGTTAGGCTTTGTTTTGGCATACTTACTGAAAAGGACTAGGCTGGCATTGGTGACACCCAGCTTGTTGGCAGCCACGCAGGTATAGTTGCCATAGTGCTCCTCAGTGACATTGGTCACTGTCAGGGAGGACTGGCCTTCCGTGCTCTTAATCTCAAGGCCATTTGCACTGTTTATCCTAAGAGTAACAAACAGAATAGTTAAAAAGTGATGGGGATAAAGGGCTTGGCTTAGTGGTTTCTTCTTCATCTTTACACTGGAGTTGTTTTTTGTTTTTTAAAGAGGAGAGGCAATAGAGAGCTTGTTATATGTCCTCACTTATTATAATCATGTAACTTCTATTATCAGAATTGATATCCATCCACAGAAAAGCCATAGCAATGGCTGAGTTCCATTAAAACTAAGTTTCTACTGTATTCAGAAAAGTGGAAATGATCAACTAGACCATATTCATTACTATTTAAGTGTACCTGAGTGCTTTTAGGTTCAGCTTAATGGCTACAAAATTACAGATGACTGAGGTCTTGTCCTTAGGCTCTGGGAGACTTTTTGGAACTTGGGACATTCAGGGTTGGTACATACCTGGTGTCATCCCGGTACCACTCAAAGTCAGGTGCAGGCACTGCAGAGGCCTCACATTTGAGGGAAGCTTGCCGTCCTGTGGTGGCTTCATTGCTCTTGGACTCCGTGATAGTGGGTGGATCTGTAGTAAGGGCAGACAGGGGTTTATTATGTTGAGAGGCAACAGATACTTCAGGGACAAAGGACTGCAGTGGGAGAATTTTAGGAAGAATAGGGACACAAGTTTACATGGAAGCTGGAGGAGTCTCTAGAATTGCTGTCTTGGGTAGAGTTAGAAGAGGTATATGGCTCGGTGGCAGTGGTGTATGCCTTTAATCCCAGTACTCTGGGGCAGAGGCAGCCAGATTTCTGTGAGTTCGAAACCACCCTAGGGTCTCCAAGAGCTAATTCCAGGACAGCCTCCAAAGCCACAGAGAAACCTTGTCTTGAAAACAAAAACAAACAAACAAACAAACAAAAAAAGAGGTATCTATTTGGAGACAGGAAAGTGATTGTGTGAAAGCATCATCATTGTCAATCCTCAAGATCAGTTAAATGAGACTGGTCACCAGCAAGCTAAAGTAAAGTGAAAAATGAGTTGGTGTATATAACAAAACACTGGATATAACAGCAGTTTTTGTGAATGAAACCCAACATTTCTCTAATTCTCCTCCTCAGTCATTCCAATTGCTATTTATATTATGTGTGATTTTTTCAGGAAGTGGTGAAACCAAAAGATTTTAAAAATTATGTGTGTATCTACATGTCTCTGTGTGGTTATGCATATCTGGCTTGATGATATCTGGAGATGATAGAGTCCAGAGAGAGTACTGGATATTCTGAGATGGAGTTATACAAAGTTGTGAGCCCTCTAACATGGATGCTCGGAACCTGAACCCAGGGCCTCTCCAAGAGCAGTGCATGCACTTAGTCACTGGGAAAATATACCATTTGGCCATTTTCTTTTTCTCATTGCTATTATTACTATAGGTAGAAATGGGTTTGAAGAACAGGATGAAATTAAGAGTCCTTAACTTCTCTGGAGCCAATACTTTGTCATATATTTTCAAAGGACTTCAGAAAAAAACAAGAAAACTACCATGGGTCATTGTCTTGATCTTTGCCCCTATGTGTTCACTTCTGTTACTGCCAAGCTAACTTGGATGTTATGTATCAGTTGCAACATGATGTGAGTCATAGTATTCAGATGATCTGCTTACCATCACTCCTTCATAGTTACTGGAAGTTGGATAGTGATTTGTATTTTTTTTTTTTTTTTGCCTTTGGTCCTAACAAAACTATAATTAACTTGAGATGAAGAAAAAAACTTATCTGATAGTCTAATTTGCCATGGTTCTCTAAATAGTTCTACCAAAGAGAGGCAAGATAAGATGTGATCTCTTAGGTCCAGTGATGTTTTTTGCCTGTGTAAATTTTAAGAAAAAGATTTTTTTCCAGGTCAGTGGTTGACTCAGCCAGTAAAGCTCTCACCCTTTAAGCATGAGCACCTGCGTTTGATTCAAAATCCCTATGTAAAAATGCACACCATAGCATGGGCTCCTAATCTAGCTTCAGTGATGGGTTCCAGACCAATTAGAGGAATCTGATGGCATTTCTCGAGATGATACTTGCAGTTGTCCTTAGGCCCTCCCGTAATATGCACCTGCACACACATATACTCATGCACACACATCCACACCCCATGGATAAAAGAGAGAAATAGAGACACACAGAGAGATATACAAAAGAGAGCTTTTCAAGCCAAAGGTTATTCTCCAGGTAATGGTAACTTAGCATGAAGGAAAAAAAGTCCAAACACAAGTCAATCTGCTTAGCTATGGTGAAGGGAAAAGTTAATTAATAAAATAACTTTGTCCTACACAACTCATTTAAATACCCAGACTATATCATTTCCGATTTTCTTGTACAGTTTTTGGGAATCAATTTCCAAGTTTTCTGTCTACAGAAATTCTGAGCCTTAGTTAGTGTCATGTACAAAAACATCAGGCAGTTGGTAGTTTCCTCCCATCTCATTTCACCATCAATATGGAATTTTTCCCACCTTCACAGAGCATAGAGTAAGATGTTTGGATAATGTTGTCAAACCATATGCAAACAACAGGCCAGGGTATCACTGTTGTTGGAATTGTTTAGATTTAGACTTAGCTACTCATTTTCTTATAAGTACAGAATGGGAAGATGGAATATTGAAAAGGTAAACAGAAGAACAAGAATGACAAAACCCTGAACTGAAAGTAGGAGGTCCTGGGATGTATGTTTAGTGTGGTTGTGTGGAGTTATTATTACATTCTATCACCCAGGCTTTGACTTATCACTTATATATGAAGGGAACTACATTTTAAAGTACTTAGTAGTTCTTCCATCCCATTCTTCAAAACTGAGCTGACTTAGTGGTCAGGAGTAGGAAGTCTGAAGATTGAGTTTAGTCTTAGCTAGAGCTGTGCTTTGTAGAACCATCCACTTGAGTTCAAGTCCTTTACTCCCTCCTTATCTTTTCAAAGAAGGAGACAGCTTAAAATGATCAGCAAGGTCCCATTAAAAAGTCTTTCTATGGCTACATAGGTCATCAAAGCCCATCAGTTCAAAGGATAACTCTTGAATTAGATGTATTTATGTTGATGATAGATCTATTGTTAGAGGGATGGTGTTGTGGGTTATTTGTACCCTGTGTGAGGCTGTATTGTTGTGATTGGTGTAATAAAAAGATAAATGGCCAATAGGCAGGCAGGAGGAATAGGCAGGACTTCTGGACAGAGAGGAAATCGGAGGAGGAATTTAGGTGTTCAAGGGAGATACCAAGAGACAAGAAGAGGAAATAAGAGGTGCAAAATGGAAGAGAGGTACTGCCATGTGATAGAATGTAGATTAATATAAATGGGTTGATTTAATTTATGGGAGCTAGTTATGAACAAGCCTAAGCTAAAGGTCAAGATTTCATAACTAATAAGAAGCCTCTTTGTCATTATTTGTGAGTTGGATGGCTGGACAGAGAAAGACTTGTTATAGGATGGAGTATAAAATCCAGGAGATTTTAAGGTTTGATTTAAAGTTGATGTACTTAAGCTCAAATTGAGGCTTGGTCCCTCAGTGTTCGCCCTTACTAGAGAGTTTAGTACTTTGCCCAGAGTCACACTGCTTCAATTTACTCATCAATAAAGCACTGGAACTAGCATCAGGGGAGGTCCATTTGGAAGCTGATGAAGGAATTTAGGGATATTCTGCACCAGGTTTATGACAAAACTATGTGAAGGAGAATATGCAGAGCCCCATAAATAAATACCTAGAAAAGGGTTAGATGTAAAGGAGAAAGGAAGAAAAAATAAAAGGATAACACTCAGGTTTTTGTAAGGGAATCAAGAGATCTCATCCACCAAAATAAGGTACACAAAAAGTGGTAGACTATGGCTCAGTGAGTTGAGACTGATGCAAACATATGAGGATTTTACATCCCACTTATCTCCAGCACCCATGTAAGAAATTGAGCATGTTGTTGCATTTCTGGAATGCAGGTGGGGGAGGTAAATAGATCATTGGCCAGTAAGCTCAACCAGTTGGTGCATCCATGTTCAGTGAGAAACCCTGTCTCCAAAAGACAAAAAAACAAAACAAAACAAAACAAAAAAACTAGTAACAACAACAAAAAAACCAAACCAATAAGGTGCAGAATGATAGATGAAGACAACTGAAGTTTATCTCTGTTCCTCACACACACGTACTTATATACACAAGTGTACACATGTGGATACCTGTACACACATGAGCACACCACATAGATTCATCTCTCTCTCTCTCTCTCTCTCTCTCTCTCTCTCTCACACACACACACAGAATAAATAACTAAAGTACAAATGACCAACAGTGAAACAGTAGTGTACATGTAATTGTGCATCCCCACTTCTTTTCACCATGTTTATGTTCTTCAGACACCCATGACTTCACAATTTGTAGTACAGTGGTCCATGGATGTTGGTGGGAAAGACAATGTTGATTCTGATTCTACAGTTTAATTATTCTGTATTGGAAAATGAATCTTAAGATATGTTTGTTTCTGCAGCTACATGCATATAATTGACAAATCCTTAGTGAAGATGGGTGCTTTAGTATTCTGTCATTTACCCAGCCAAGAAAAAAAAACAGACCCTCATATCCTACCACCACCACAAGAACAAGCACCACAAGTACCACCAGCACATTAGGCACACTCAGAACTGTAGTGTCTTAACATGATATTGCTGTGGTGCATCCCTTCAAATGCCTCTGCCATCGTGTCAGGGTCACAGGCTCCAGATGCAGAGTTTTGTGAGCATTCCTTGCTATCTAGTTATTTCATATACCTATTCATTGGTGCCTATTACTTGGGGGATAATGTTTTGTTTTCTTCTGACTAAAAAAAACTGGGAGCACACTGGTTATCCTTCCTGTTCTCATACAGGTAGACATCCCAGCCCAGGGCAACTGGTGTGTGTGTGTGTGTGTGTGTGTGTGTTGCATATGTGTGTGTGTGTTTGTGTGTGTGTGTGAGTGTGTGTGTCTAGTTGAATATGCTAAGATACTACTTCTAGTTTGGACCTCTAACATGGAAGCGTTTGTTTGGCACACCACATTGTAAGCAACAAACTGCTCATTAACCCATTAGAGGTCTAAGCATGGAGGAAGCTGGCTAGAAGCTAGGGTTAGGTGCATTATTCAGGAAAAAGATGACTTTGGCCAACTACCAGGTCCAAGTGCTTGCTTGCTTCTTTTAAAACCCAGCAAACTCCTTTTTACCAAAGTCAATTCGTAGCTACTAATGAGGAGTACAAACACTTGTTCCCCTTATTATTTCTCAAATTACATCGTTGTCCAGGTCCTCTTTCATGGCTTATGGGAATGGACACTTCAAAGTTCATTTGGAATGAAGTCTGTGTAGGTGAGGCTAGGAAAGATTATTATGAATTATATTGTGGCATGCCTAAGATAGTTAAAATACTAGATGTTCTTGCTCTAAAGATGGTTATAGTAAAAGTGTGCTTCCTACAAATGCTGCATGGAAAGACTCATAGTTACTCTTTCTGTAATGTTGGAAGAGCTTACAGTTGTCAAATGACAACTGTATTTCTTCAAAATTCCAGATCTTGAAAA